GAATCTCATCTGGCCCGGTCGCTCTGCCCCTACTCATCTTACGCATAACTCCCACGACCTCCTCAACCTCAATACGCCTGCAGTACCCAAAGTCACGGTGACTCTCGGAATACTCCAAATCGCCTAGCACAATATCCCGATCCCCTTCTTCATTCAGAAGTTTATGAAAGTAAGTCTGTCATCTACTCTTAATATGGGCATCTTCCATCAATACTTTATCATCTTCGTCCTTGATGCATCTCACTTGGTCCAAATCCCGAGCCTTCCTCTCTCTCAACTTGGCCAGCCGGAATAACTTCTTCTCCCCACCTTTTTCCCCCAATTCCTCGTACATACGACCATAAGCCGCAGTCTTAGCCTCTGTGACTGCCAGCTTAGCCTCCTTCCTAGCTGCCTTATACCTATCCATGCACACTCGCCTCTCCTCCTTCCTAACAATCTGAAGAAGGAACGTTTATATGTCAGGCAAAATACACAAAGGAGTTGATTCAGAAGTTCGGTATGAGTAATGCTAAAGCTATTGGCACACCAATGAGTCCTTCAACAAGTCTTGACAAAGATGAATAGGGAAATCCTGTTGATGAAACTAAATATCGTGGAATGATTGGCTCCCTTCTTTATCTAACTGCTAGTCGACCAGATATTATGTTTAGTGTTTGTAAATGTGCCAGGTTTCAGTCAGCTCCTAAAGAATCACATCTGACTGCAGTAAAGAGAATTATTCGATATCTCATTGGAACTATTTCTCACGGATTATGGTATCCACGCTTAACAATTTTAAACTAGAAGGTTTTTCAGATGCTGATCTTGCAGGTGATAAGGAAGACAGAAAAAGCACCAGCGGAACATGTCAATTACTTGGAAAAACACCGATATCTTGGAACAGTAAAAAGAAAGGATCAGTTGCACTATCCACAACTGAGACTGAGTATATCGCCATTGGACAATGTTGTGCACAATTACTATGGATGTCTCATCAATTGGGTGACTATGAACTATTCTTTAAACTCATTCCAATTTTCTGTGATAACTCTAGCGCTATATGTCTCTCAAAAGATCATGTGCATCACTCTAGGGCAAAGCATATAGACATCAAGCATCATTTCATTTGAGATCATGTTCTTAAGGGAAATATAGAATTATCTTTTGTTGGAACTATTGATCAATTAGCAGATATTTTCACTAAACCTTTACTTGAAGACAGATTTTGCTTTTTAAGAGAATTACTTGGTATTATTTCCATTGATCATTAATATTAGGACCTATGTGATATTTTTATGTTTTGTATGCCTAATGTTTAAACTTTGTCTTTTCATAGTCATTAATAGCGCCTCTGAATTCCCCCTCTTTTCCTCTCTTTTCACATCAGTTGCAGCGTTCAGGAAAGGAAAACCAATCATCACGCCTGTTCAACTGACACCATTTCCTTTCCTGTACCCAATCGTCAGAAACCCTTTCTTTTAATCTCTATAACCCTCTTCCAATCTCTATCACTCCCATCGCCTAGAAAACCTCTCTGAAACTCTCTTCAACCAGTTTTTTCCATGGCTACACTCTAAAAATCCCTCAGCCTCCACCAGGAAAAGTACTCGTTCCAGAACAAGTAAACCTAGGATCCGACCACTCAGAAGGCTTTGCCTCATCTCAGGCAGAACTCTCAGATCATTCTCATCCTCTAGGAGAAAAAGCCCTAGGAAAAAGACCTTTGGAAGAACCTCCTGAATCCCTTACTCCAAAGAAATCGAAAATAGATCTCTCAAGTTCTTTAGAGTCTGACCTAAATTTCTGAGATTCTCCAAACAGGAATTTTTTTATTGCTCTGAAAGACAAGCCAATCACTCATGGCAAAGTAGTCGACCTTGATGACATGGAAGCCCTAAACTGTAAGGTAAAAGATCTGTTTGTTTATCAAGGCTGGTCAAAATTCTTTTATGTTCCCCCTCCTAAAGTCTGTGAACCCCTAGTAAGAATGTTTTATGCCAATTTTCGGTCTAGTAAGTCTGACAAGTTGGAATCCTTAGTGTTAGGAAAGCGCATCGTTCTTGATTGTGCGATGTTTGACTCAATTTTCCAGTGTAAGTGTTTTGGTTTTCCCATGCTTTTCAAAAATTCTTGGCCTGATGATTTTGAAATCACCTTTGATCAAGCAAAACATTGTATTGCTGAGTGTTCATCTGAATCCCTCCCAAACCAGTTAGGTCCAAGTGGTGTTAGCTTTGAAACTCGTGTGGAAGTACACGACAGGCTTGATGGAGTGACTGTCTCAGCTAATGCTAGCTTTGATCAACTGAAGAAGGCGATTTGCAACACTCTTACTTATTTCTTGCGTCGTTAGTGTGGAAGTTTCAAACAATATTTTTTGTTGTGCTGTTTTGGACTGAATAACAGTCGTTGGATGATTTTTTTTTAACTCTACATGCATACCATGCTACAAATTCCGCTTTAGTATCTGGTGTATTGTTGTTTTTATCCCCTCTTTGCTGATGTCAGAAAGGGGGAGAAGGCTATACATATATTCGTGCAGGTACATCCATTGCAGGGGGAGTCGACTATAGATACTACATGAGAAGTCGATTAAAAGAAGTAGTCCCAACGGCACCTATTAAGGGGAAGTCAACTCACTCATTGAGGGGGAGTAAAATATAGGGAAGTTAACTGATGTTTACATATATTATTTTTTTGTCATCATCAAAAAAATGGGAGATTGTTAGGTTTTAGTTTTAACGATGAAAAAGTAATATAATTGCTTTTGGTGTAGGGACTCAAGGAAATCAACCAAGATCGAAGTGCACAAAGAGAAACAATCAAAGCTGAAGGAAGAAATCAATCAAAGATTGATTGAAGCATTCAAAAGGAAAAGAAGCACTGACGATCCGGCGAGATAATCAATCTGAGATTGGTTGAAGAGTTAAAAAGGAAAAGAAGCATTGAAGATCCGGCAAGATAATCAATCAGTAGCTATTACTGGAAGGACCCAGAATTAAGGAGCAAATCCGGCGCTATCAAGACTTTAAAATGGAAAGCTGTCAAAGTCCACACATCAAGGAAGAGTAACGGGAATTAACCTTATTCTTGGAAAGAATCAATTTCTTTCCGAGGATCAAATCTCTTGGGTTGGGAAATCTCTTCAGCAACGGTCTCCTACAAAGTATTTATACGCAACCTTAAGTCTTAGAGAGATATGCTTTGATCAAACCAATTACGCTCTCTTTGTTCTACTTCAAACAAACATTGTAGCTCTACTATATCTGTTGTGTAACAAGTTAGAGAAGAAAGAGAGAAAAATACTGGTGAGGCATTGTATCAAAAAAAGACGAGTGACATAGAAACTGAGTTGTTGGTGTAAACTACAATTCACTTTGTACTCAAGAAACTCAATAGCTGAAAGAGAACTCCCTTGCAACCCAAGGGAACTGGACTAGGATTCACATTGAATCCGTACCAGTATAAAAACTCTGGTGTCTTTAATTCCTGCACTTTACTTCTGCATTTTAATTCTGCACTTCTTATTATCTCGTTATTACATCTAGTCGACTAATTGGAAAACCAGTCAACTTATAATAATTAATTTTAAAATAAGCAATTCAACCCCCCCTCCCCCCCCTCTTGTACTTTCAGCTTGGACCTTTAATATTCTATACATAGTATAGTTATAGATAATGGATCATGGATTGATCAAAAAGCAATTTTATTTGATAGCGTATTATGATTTCTAACATGTACAACGCTTCAACCTCTTGTTTGATGAAGAAGCATATAGTTTGTCTTTCTAAAATCTCATAAGAGAGGAAACTAGATGAAGCATGACCTTTTCATCCCTATATCTAGATACTGTTCAAGAAACTGAAATTTCTTCTCCTTCACACAGAGAACTGTTGCTATTCTTAGGTGTATTATGAGTTTAAAGTCGAGGATATTATTATTATCCCTCTTTTTTTCTTTTAGAGAAAGGTAGGTTGATACGATGATTAAAGCAGGCAACTTAGAGCGCAAGTGCGGATTGAGTTAGAATGAAGTTTTTAACTTTCAGCTTCACTCTCCACACAAGATGAAGTTTGTTTCCTGCATTCAATTTTTTCATATGCTCAATTGAAAAAATCAAAATCCTCCTCAAAATGTTGCAAAACTCTCTGAAATAAAGTCATTAAATACCATATGTTAAGTTCCTGGGACACATCATCTCATGAATATCCTTTCTTCTTCGCTCCCTTCAAACCTAACCCTTGGCATTTGCAATAATACATCTTTGATGGATATGTAGATTCACTGTCAGGCTAGTCTGAACAGAAGACCTAATACCTATGCAGAATAGGTAATTTAATAAATTTCTTCGAAATTGACTTACAATGCCATTTTGTAATGAGCAAAGGGCAGTATCTTTATAAGCATGCGTGTGATCCCAAATTCCATGAAATGCAGCAATAAAAAGCTCTTATTTAGTGTCACATAAAATGAAAAGGTAATGTCAAAAGCCAGAGTGTCGCTCCAGAAAACAAAAAACTATCGAAGTATAATTTAGGTAAAGAAATATCCATCAGATAGAAATAGTAGTAATTTTCCACATTATTTTCTTACAACATCTTAGGGAGCAGATAAATTATGACTCAAATGTATATTGGACAACATTGACTCTGGGGTATTCTAGAATAAAAAGAAGTGAACTCATAGCATGAATCGGACTATCCCGTTGATATATGGTCATAAGACTCTTGACTGAAAAAATTCATTTAAATATTTTGTTAGAAATTATTACCTTGATGATCAACTTGTATCCCGCTTCTAACCTCATATGGCAATAGTTGCACCCGTACTCGATGGCAAAGATACTGGAGTGACTTCTTGATGTTCAGTTGCATTCGCTCGCTATTGAACAAGCATGTAGCAGAATGAAAATAAAAAACACATTCAGAAGCTTCTTACTCGTTCTAACGCCAAGTTGAATGACAATGTATATCCTACCATCTAACAAGGCAAGGCATCTGAAAATACCCCGCGAAACAGGGCGAATGAATGATGGATCCCTTTGTGAATACAACAGATCGACTGAAAAAGTAACTATAACATTTAGATAGTGTAGTAGGTGGAGAGTTGATAGTTTATTTCTTTTGATATCTCAGGTTCCTCTTTGGGAAGCTACTGGGCAGGTCTTTCTTTTTTTGATAAGTCTACCGGGTAGGTCTCTGTTTACACGCTTTATCCAAAAGCCTCCATTTCATCAATGTTAAACTCTCCTAATATATAAACTTTTACCTCTTCTTGAAAAATCTCCTGTCTTCGAACCTTTCCTCTACTCTTCCCTCTTCTTCACTAAGCCTCTCAATTAACTCCCTCAACGCCTCCTTTTGAAAACTCTGATCTCTCCTATTTTCCTCAATTATACCCACATTTACCTCCATATTAGTCTAATAATCAGGAAAAATGTCCTTTTTGATTTAGTCCCGAAAGAACCATTATTAATGGAAATTAACATTGAACCAAAGCTATCACTACTCACATTTGTCCATATCATCTAACACTTTCTATGTTCTATTGCATAGCGTCCCCATTGGTCATGCTTAGATATTTTACCATCCTATCCATTCCAGTTGTAACACTTTAACAGAACTTATGACACAGGGATTCCAGATCTCAAACCTTATGAGTTATGACCCCTTTGTTAGACCAAACAATGTTCCAAAGTATAATATGATTATTAACATTTTCCATTAGTAAAAAACAAAGAGGAAGAAAATAAAGTTAAAATAAATGAACTCCTGAAAAAGTAAATAGCATAAGACATAAAAAGTTAAGCAAATTAATCTGAAGTGCCATATCCATGAAGGTCACATTGAAAGCATAAAACATCATTAAGGAATAAGCTCTAATCAACGAACTCCAAATGAATACAATTTGTGTCAAACTGTGACACAATGAAAGATTGAATAAACTGTAAAAATAATTTGCTCCGAAGTTCCGAATTAACTCCAAAAACAAGGTAGCAAATGCAATTAAGTTTTGGTAGAATGTGAACCTATTTAACCTCAAAATCATACACCGAAATCTTAAAATGAACCATGTTAGCTGAACACATTCCAAATTCTACTCAAAAGATCGACTTTACAAAAAGAGTCAATCTCATAATGTAATTTGAGTAACATATAAACCACAATAATTTGAAATTAAGATATATGAACAAGAATAAGAAGGAAAGACAAAAACCCCAGAAAATGAAAGAGATAATGGTTTACCTGAGTTAATGTCTTGCCATGGGCATAATAAGAAGATCAACGGTGCAAGTTTTCTCATACTCTAGTCTGTATCTCCCTCCTGGGATCTTGAAATAGAGTGTCTGCCCTATTCCTTCACTTGATTCTCTTAATCCTATCACCTATGTAGCAGAGACAGTGGGTAATGCTTGAGAGAAGAGCTATGCAGGAGCAAACAAGGGAAACTGAACAATCCCGAAGCGGAGTTGGTCGGCCAAATAAAAGGATACGAAAGGAATTACAAAAACGAAGTACCTGCACAGGAGAAATCCATATATGTGCAGAACAAATTAGAAAAACCTAAAGGGAAAACGAAAAAATGGGAGAATAAAACTCACTCGATAACTATAGTTGTGTCTAACTATAAATATCATATACGGTGAGATGGAGAAGTAGTCCTTCAAAATTGCATAAAGATAAGAACAAAAGAAGTTATCGGCCACCTTTCAGTTTCAGTCGTGGAATAAGATTAACGCAGAGCCATAAATCGTTTCAATGGCAAAGAGAACAGCACATGCGGCTATCTAATTGTTTGTTGCCATCAGAATTAGATCTCTAGTTCAGTCGGAGAACTCGTAGAGGAACAAGCCGGATCGGAAGATGAATACAGAAGCAGATGGAGAAGGGCACAAATGTAATATTCGGTTCCGTTTTTAATGCATAGGACACGCGTCATATCCTTGAAGCAGATCAATATAAGCGAATTTACGTATTTACCCCGGGAAGTAGGACGACGAAGTACTCCCGCTTCTAAATAAGTAGAAAGAACTAGTAGAATGCGTTTTTACCGTATCCACTTCTAGTTATGAGAATAATTAAATTGCCACCTAATCTAATACATTCAGAGTAATAAACATCGAGTGTGACAGGTTATATCTCGTTAATAAATTATCAAAATCCGTTTTCTTCTTCTTTTCTCTCCTCTCTTTATATTGAGGAAAAAGAAAGGACCAAGTCCTGTAAATTTGCTGCTTCATATTAGCCTTGAAATCACATCTCTATCCATTTTATTTAGGCAAAATATATAAGTAGCCATTTGAATAATATATCAACTGTTATACACTTTCTTCGAATTAAAATCACTTATGCACTTAACCTTTTCAAAGTGTAACTAACACGCACAAATTTATAGCTTGGTGTTTTACATCTAAAAAAGGCAAATGAATGTAATATTTTTGGGTCTGAACCATTTTCAAAACGCCATATGTCCAACCTTTTTATTTTTAAAATTTTTTTGAGTCATTTCATGTTTTTTTATTTTTAGTTATTGTATCTCCAAATAATTTGGTCCTCTTCCACACCCTACCACCAAACTGTTTTCTGCCGCCCTGGACACCCATCTTTGTCTTCTCTATAGATTAAGCTTTGAAACACTAAAATAATTTTAGAGCTAGATCCACATTCTAAATTAATTATTCATCTCCTCCAAGATTGACTGGATCATTTCCAGATCTGCTAATATCAATGACTGGTTTCTCCATTTGTTTTCATAATTTTGTTCTTTTTTGTGCGATTCTCTTATGCATTTTTTTGGGAGTGTAAAATTGCACAAGAAATCATTTTTCTTGTGCTAAAATCGTCTCCAGCTCTCTGATGGAGTGTAATGCCCACACAAATTTCTTCCGTAATTTTTCTTCTTTGAATTGGTGTGAAGACAAGGAGTTATGGTGTGTTTGTGGGTTTTGTTCTAAAAATTAATATTGATGGTAGTGGTTGCATTACTGTGGAGGTGATAAGGTGATGGTAATGATGATTTTAATGGAGGAAAGTACTTAAATGGAGAAGATGACTAAAAGTAAGGTTTCTGAAAGATGATAGATGGGTGCAGAGGGGTCCTTTTACTTTTTTCCTTTTTTTAGAAGAAATAATTAATTAGGCTAGAAATTAAGTATTTTTTTTTTTTTCTTGAGTTCCGACACCTTTCACCACTTCGTGATACCACACTTTGAAAATCTGATCAAAATGAAATATTGTGTATTAGCTACACTTTGAAAATATTATATATAGAAGGTGCTTTTGATTTCAAAAAATATTTAACGGGAATTTAATGTATAGTTCAAATGGCTACTTAAGATTTTTTCTTTTATTTATTTTTGTAGTTATGATATTAGATGTTGGGTCTAAGTCATGGGTCATTCCATGTGAGTTGACCCGACCCATTTTTATATTGAAGGGATCAAATGAAATAACTTCTCAAAAGAAGTTACCACACGTAAGTATAGTGGGGGCATTTTTTGTTCATAACTGCTATTTGAGTGCTCTTAAGTATAGAGGTTCTGATCTTTGGCAAAGTGTAAGAAACGTAAGAAAGGCAAAAAACAGACAACTAAGTTCTCTTCTCTTCTTCCACATTAACACATAAAAAAATATTTAGTTTGTGGCAATTTTGCTTTGTTTCCAAGAGATTCAAAGTGGACTTTTGAGCAATTTTCTGGGTTATAACTTCTACTCTGATGCATTAACAGGTACATAAATCTTGTACTGATCTTGAAATAATCTATGTCCCTATTAATTGTGTTTTGTTTACAATGGTATCAAAGCGTATGCTATTTGTTTCCAAGTCTAACACTAATTCTCTTGAAATACACTGTCGTTGTAAATCTCTGCTAATTTTTTTTTGTCTGACCAGAGAAGAAACAAGTACAAAGTGCTATGAATAGCACTGCAATTCCTATATAACCATCAAAGTTGTGGTTTCTATTATCCTAGCCATGTATTTATAAAGAATATATAAAAAGTACTCATATATAAAAGAATAATATGTGTTGTATTGACTAGTTAAAAATAGTTTGATACAATTATGATTTGTGTCATATGAATCACGTGAAGCATGTAGATTGATATTTAAAAAAATATATTGTCACGACCCAAAATCCACTATAGGGCGTGATGGCGCCCAACATCGTCGTTAGGCAAGCCAACACTTAATTATTCATTTTATCATTTTTAAAATCATAAATTTTTCTTGGATAACGAGGTTAGTGCAACAAAATAAATCGTAATTACATACAGTTTCGTTAAAATAACAAGTGAAAGTGAATCAGTGTAAAACAATCCATAACAAATTCTAAAACACCCCCCAAAATCCGGTATCACAAGTGCATGAGCATTTACTAAGGAGTATAATAATAATACAACATATGTCTAGAATGTAAATAAGACAGGATAAAATAAATAGTACGATGGAGACTCTGTGGACTGCGATACATAGCATGGAATGTAGCTCACAGGAAGTCTCCTCAACAGCTGCGCCTACGCGTTAAGATGATCATCAAATGAATCTGTCAGATCATGCACATTTAGTGCAGAAGTGCAGCATGAGTACGTAAATCAATGCGTACCCAGTACGTATCTAGCCTAACCCCGGAGAAGTAGTAACGGGGGTTGACATCGACACTTACTAGAGGTCTAATAAAGTAATATAATAAATCATAAGCAGATATGAATCACACGGCAATAATGGGGTAAATATGTAAATTACATAATCTTCCAAGAATTTCTTTAAAGGGTATGAATTTCTCAGTCTTGTATTCTACTTTCTACCTCAACGGCTCAAATATATCAAGTGCCAGAATCAAACGGATAAAGGATACCATATAAAAGGTCAAGCATCAGTGGAAGGATAATCTCGTAAATATTCGGACTGCCTGCAATATAACGCACGATTATGCCGAGGTCGTTCGTCCTGATCCAGAATAATGTGTACATTGTCGAGGGTCGAGCGGCACAAACCATAGATGCATCTATTATAATGCCGAGGCGTTCGTCCCGCTCCACTAGAAAGGAAAAAAATTTTCAAATTACGAGATACGTGCTTACAATGCAGTACATGAGCACAAAGTGAATATAATCTTTACTGTTTCTCAAATAACTTGCCAACAACTCAAGGTGATAAGGCTTGGCTAGTATACATATATTTATTTCTAAATCAATTTCAATTATAAATTCAATTAATTAAGCCAGCAGAATGAGTTCAAATAATTCCGATATTTTATGATAAGGCCCTAAGTCTACCCGAACATAAACATGCTTTAGCTACATACGGACTCTCGTCATCTCGTGTGTACGTAGTACCCACAACTAATAACATATAACAATTATATCACATAGGGATAGTTTCCCCCTCACAAGGTTAGACAGGAGACTTACCTCGCTCCGAAATTCTATAATCGGCTCCAACGCCCCTCTAACTCTTCAATTCAAAGCCAAACGATCTAAAACTAGTCAAACAATGTACAACTCAATCAAAATACACTCCAATGCGTATAAGTTTACAATTTATAATGATTCTCAACTCCGCTCGAAAAGTCAATAAAGTCGATCCTCGAATTCCGAAAATTTTCAAAGATAAACTTTACCCATAACACCACGAACTCAAATATATAATTCATTCATAATTCCATGTCCAATTTCGTGGTAAAAATTCAAAAATATCAATTTCTAGGTTTCCTATCAAAATTCCAAAATTTTCATAAATTTCATCCTTAAATCCACATATAAACCATATATTTAGCTTACAACAAGTAGGAAATTACTTACCTTGTATTGCATGATGAAAACTCCCTCAAAATAGCTCCCCAAATTCGGCCACCCGAGAGAAAAATGAGAGAAATGAGAGCTAATCCTCGATTTAAAAGCACCACTGCCCAGTGACGTTCGCACCAGCGGACCATTAGTCGTACCTGCAGCTCCGCACCTGCGGAACAATCCATCACAGGTGATATCCCCTCTATGGACAGCCAAACCCGCTTCTGCGAAAAAATATTCGCTTCTGCGAGCCTTCACTAGCCTGCCCAGCTCCGCTTCTATGGATGATTTGGTCGCGCCTGCGGAAACGCACCTGCGCTTAGGCCTTCGCATCTTTCTCTTCACCTTTCGCTTTTGTGCTCCCTTACCCGCATCTGGAGCTCGCAGGTGCGGTGGATTCCTCGCACCTGTGCATCCAGCTAGCCTCAACCTTATGCGCTTCTGCGACTCCTGGGCCACTCCTGCGGTGTCACACCTGCGGCCAAAACCTCGTAGGTGCGATCACACCAGAACTGGAACTCCAGCTTTTTCTCAAGTCCAAACTTTGATCTGTTAGCCATCCGAACTCTGCCCGAGGCCCCCGGGACCTCAACTAAATATACCAACAAGTTCAGATACGATACAAACTTAGTCGAAGCCTCGAATTATGTCAAACAATATCAAAATTATGAATCGACGATCGAAACCTTTCTTTAAACCTTCAACCATTCCAACTTTGCCGAACGCGTCCGAATTATGCTTAGACATCCCGGAATGATGCCAAATTTTATGCACAAGTTACAAATTACGATACGAACCTATTCCAAGGCTCAAAACTTCAAACGGACATCGATTATATCAAAATTCACTTCAAACTAAACTTATGAAATTCTAGAACTTCCAAAATGCCAACTTTTCATAATAGGTGCCGAAATGCTTCCGGACCACCCGATACTCAACCCGAACATACGTTCAAGTCCGAAATTATCATACGAACCTATTGAAACATTCAAATACCGATTCCAAGGTCATTTACTCTAAAGTCAAACCTTAGTCAACCCTTGCAACTTAAAGCTTTCGAATTTAGAATTTTCTTTCCAAATCAACTCCGAACTTTTCAAAATTCAATTCCGAT